TGCCGATTAATTTCTTATCTTTTTTATCAAACAGCTTAATTTTATAATAAACTTGAACGAAACTATATAACTCGCTATATAAATATGTGTGTGTGTATTTATATAGCGAGTTATATAGTTTCATTCAAGTTTACTATACCGAAAAAATTAAGCTGTTTGATAAAAAAGATAAGAAATTAATCGGCAATGAATTAAATTATTTCTCTAAATTGTATCCAAAGAATTTTATTCTTGTACATTTTATTTTTTTCATGTAAATTGAGAAATTCTTGGGAAATCATAAATCTTGATATGTGAATGTATGTCGGAATTATACAACAGCTTACATTTTATAAAAAATCGAAAACGCACTCAGTGTCGCGTACTCAGACATTTACGTTACGTATTGGTTGTACACACTCCGTCATGTATACATTATCATTATAATTAGTGTTATAACTAGTGTTATTTATATAACTATTGCTTATATAACAACATCTTACTGTCACTCTATCGTTATTTTTTTTTTATGAAGCATATTAGATAACGCATTTGACGTGATAAACCATTAAAATATGCAATTATATACAGCAAGACAAAGTGATTAAGACTTATCGGTTTTGTATCATATAAATTAAGGTCATTCTTTATGTCATTCTTTAAATTTTCGTAGTATTTACGGCATCTCTCTTATCTTGTATGAATGTATTGAATGCAGTTGCTCTTTCGTCATATTTAATTGGACGTTCGGATTTTATGGAAATATTTGCGAAAAGGAAAGCTTCGCGAAGAAGGGATTGACTAAGTTACTGAAATACGTATCAAACTTTTCAACCGCTAATGGCAATATTATTCGATATAATATCGGCCAGTTTTCATTCACGAACATATTGGCGAGTTTCACTGAAAATGCAATTTCCTGTGTCATGATATATTTAGGAAGAGAAAACTAAAATGATATATAAAGAGTCATAATATAAACTGATAAAAATTCCAAAATTATTTCTAAAGTAATACTCTCATTAGCTGTTACACAACAGTTTCTAAAAAGAAATAGCCAATAAGAGTATTACTTTAAAAATAATTTCTGAATTTTTATATATTTTGATCACGTTATAAAAATTATTAAAAAGCTAGAGATATAGTTGCATAATTACTTACTGATTTCTGAATTGTCGGAATTATCTACGTAGATCTTTAAGTTTTTGATCATTGGAGTTATGCGAAAATGTTTTACAATCAGTGTATCATTTTTTACAGGCCCTAATATGTTCCACATTCCTCTGATGCCTTTCATCGTTATGTTAAAATATCCTGCTGTATGTAAATACATAATTATGTATGCGTACGATATCGTTCAATGATGTGAATAATAAAAAGAAAACTGTACACACACAAAAATTAAAGAGACGAGGATTATTTATTTATAAATAATAAATAATTTATTTATAAATAATAATGCGTGTGCGTGCGTGCGTGCGTGTGTGCGTATGTATGTGTGCGTCTGTATGAAAAATACTCCACTATACCGGAATCAAATTTGAGAATATGTTAAAGTATATTGGCATAATTATCATAATTGTGTAAAATATAAAATACAATTTATATGGGTAATCTTTTTTCCTCTTTTAAATAGAAATATACTTGATAAAATTATTGCCAATATCTAAATTTATTTTAATTATATAAGGTTTATTTTCGTACCTTGCGTGTTGAATCGGAATCCGGCTATAGTGCCATGCCCTTCGTAAATACCTTCAGCATCTATTTGTGGTATTTGATATCTACATCCAAGATAGAAAATATCATCGTTGAGGTGCGATCTTACCCACTTAAAATGTATCATTTTGATACCTATGACAGTGATATTTTTTACACTTATTTCTCCGTGTAGATCACCACTATCAACTACAACTTTTTCGTATTTATAAAGAAATGGATCCAGAGGTGGAAGATCGAATTCAGCAGGAAGACCTGTCAGAATATACAGATTATCGGTATGTGCGTTGATCTCAAGAATTTAATTACTGGTATATGATCAGAGGACTTTAAGCTTTTTAAATGGTCTAGATAAAATCTTGTTGATTCGTGTATTCATGAGAATTTGTACGAAATATTGTTACATTAAATAGTAGTTGCATGTGTTGATCTCGGAACTACATATTGAAGTTGTATATATAGTGTGATGCATAGAAAAAACTGTTTGGAAAAAACTTCTATAAAAATGATGAGATCTACTTTAAAGGATACCTTTTACAAAAATTGGCCATATTACTTCAGCTCTGTTTTTCAAGCAGGAATTGTAGTCACTTGAAGCACGTTTGCAGGAAGATGTGTAGTCTGCGTGAAGATAAAAACGGTATAAAATAAGTTACTTGCGAGTAAAGATAGTACGATTCTGATTTTGGAAATAAGAATTTATCGTTTCTTTTCTGTCTTAACGTTATGGAAAGCTATTATTAAAACACAGAAAATTGTTAAAGAGAACTTACTAAGAGTTTTCAAAATATCGAGCTTTTCCGTCGCACACAATCCAAACATTATGACACTGAGTACGCTAAATGCGCGGAATATCATTTTGTCTAGCGAAGAAAACTGCGAATGACTTGATTAATATGTATAGCTTGGCTTTATATAACGTTTGAGAAGTACTAAATAACTTTGTATGACATTACATTCAAACGCATCATAGAAAAGAAACAAAAAGTGTTAATTGTTATTTCTTTACAAAAACAGAAATATGTCCAACAAAACAACTACTAACGTCTAAATTTAGTTTATTTCTATCAGATTTTATGTTAGTTTTTTCTTGCTTTTATTGTTTTTCTACTTGATTATACAGAATTTATTTGTATATTTTCGTCATTTATTTGGTCATATTATCATGCGTCACGCAATCACTGTAACAAAAAAAATTTTCTCTATTTCTTAACGCTATGGAGAAATATTATTAAAACACGGAGAATCATTAAAGAAGACTTACGAAGTAAGAAAATGGAATTTTTCCGCCACGTATAATCTAAACGCTAAGACACTGAATACAGTAAATGCGCGGAATAACATGTCCAGATAAGCTAGGTACAAACAGTTTTATTAGACGTCTCACCTGTCCTTATATAGTTTGTCATTGTGCTTTGTCTGAAAACAGCACTTAAATTTTGTAACATTGTGTATCTCATTAAACTTTATAAATTATTATGTACCTCTATGCTGTTTTTGCGCTAAACGGCTTGTTGGATAAAATCTTACAGTTATTTAAAAGAATTTTTTAGGACAAGAAATCTCTTGTAGTTGTGTTCCATAACTTCCATTTAAAAATTAGTGGGTAAATGGTCGTCGCTAAGCAACAATTTATTCATTTATTTTGATATCTTAAATACAAATTTCACTAATTATTTATTACTTTATACTTTTATAGATAAAATGTATCATGCAGTAACAGACTCAATTGTGCTGCTATTGTTTAGTACTCTTGTGGAACAGCAAAGCTGTGTGTACATCGATAGAGAAGTTCATTTAATTCGATCGTACTAAAAAGATTAAATGTACTGGCAAATAAAAAATTATGCGGCAAACATAACTCAGATCAAAGAGTTGATATTATTTTTTTCTATCAGAAAATGCTAAGGAAATTATAAATCTTAGTATGTGATTGCCAGATTATTTATTTTATAAATATCAAAATATGTTTCGCGCGTATAGAGGCTTGTAGTTGCGTATCAAGGTATACTAATTATTTATTTGTCGTTTTTTCACTAATATTATTTACCGTTTTTAAGCTTTATATTCAATTAACATATTTTTATTTATTTAAGTTAATAAGTAAATTATTGCAATATTGTCATGGGTTAGATATTTTCTTACAACTCTGGGTTCTAATTAATATCCAGAATATCCACAATTGTATGTAGATGATGATTGTCATTTTTTACAGAATTTGGATATTTTTTTTTTTTCGTAGAACTCACTTAAATTCTACACATCAATATAAAGTGCATATTTTATTTATATCATGTCAAATCATATTTATTTATATCATGTGAAAATGATTTTATTTTCGGGATTGAAACAGTGGAAATATATGAATTATGAATCATGTAAAAGAGGGTCGTATACAGTGAATAGCAAAACGGTTTAGACATAATGAAGCTGGGAACTTAACAAACTTTCAAAATTGAGAGTCATTACCGATAAATTTACGCAATAATAGTAATAATAATATAATTAAGAACACTAAATAATAATACTAATAATAATTAATAATGATAATAATTAATAGTATAATTACGGGACAAGCTCGTCACACACACACACACACACAAATTACTCTCAGTTTTGACAGGTTGGTAAGCTCCTAACTTTAATCGTTTTGTAATTCACTGTACATAAATCAATAAAGAACGAAGTATGCGAGGGGAATAAAAAAGAGCTCAAAGAAACTATTTGTTTGTCACGTCTTCTTATAATAACAGATGTAATCGTTTAAAGACGCAGAGATATCATATATGTGTGTTCAAAGTGCGATTTCTTTATAATGCACTTACATGTGGTTTGTAAAAAGTTTAAAACGACAAATCATTCTAATGATTTTCCACTTCTCACATTTTGATGCAGTGTCGCAGTGCATATGCATGATTTCATTCTATTAGCGATTTTTATTTTACAAAGAAATATTTGTCGGTAATAACAGTATGTATAATTGTAGTATTGTAGGATGTATAAGGGTGTAAATAGATTTACACAGATTTACACACGAGGGGAATGTTTTTATAATTAATAAAATAATTGTTTGTCTCATGTCTTCTTATAATGTAACAAATATAATAATGATTTGAAGACGTAGAGACTGAATACATACACGTGTTACATTTAGATACGATTCAAATGAACTTTCGGGATTTACAGCCGATAAAAAATTTTTCGGCTGTAAGTGCGGTCATCAAAATGTTAATATCCTTTTTATACCGCTGCAAAGACGCACGTGGTGTACGATCGTGAATGTTTAGAAATTATGTGCGAAATTTATTTTATTCTGCTTGTGACATTCAAAGTTGTAGCGTGACTTTCATGCGAGTCACAGATCACGTTTACATCGAAATGATATTTACATCGTCGTTGAAACTATATTTTGCCTGCGTTGTTAGACAGCAGATTGTCGTAAATGGATTGCTCGTTTTTTCATAAAGAAGGAAGCTACTTCTCGGTTGTTTGATCCATTCTAGATATCATATATATTTCACCGTATTATATTATAATGTACCGCTCTTCTGCCACGGCGCTTATTTAGTTCTCGAGACATAACGAGGGAATCTAAGGCGAGATTAAAGCCTGCGCAAAAGCAGCCGACAGCGTAAAATACAATATAAAAGCCGTGAATTCAGTTACGAGCGATTTCTTATGCGGGACGAAAGAATAAAAACATTATTTCCGGGATAGAATTACAATTTTAGCGATATATCTCGATAAGATACACTTTACGATATATGTATACATGTACATATATACTTGTATACTTTTACACAGTTGAATCAAGATCGTTTCACCCGTACGGTAATTTAAATCCAACTGTTACACGTAAATTCCCCGCAATGTGTACGTTACAACAATATGTGACACACACGTGGAGTCGCATGCAACAATACGTTCCGTCTGGACGGCGTCGGAAAATGACGCAGAGCGAGAACGAGAGAGACTTGCGCCGCCACCTAAGAATATTATAGTATTATTGAGAATAATAAATCCCCGAGGATGAGCCGGAATTAATTGCAGGGCCGATTGCAAGCAATTTACGACACTGATTGCAGCCGAGATGAGAACCATCTTGGGAAAACCTTTCGGACGATGGAAGAAAAGGAAATGGCGCCGCTATCTGCCTCTCCCGCTGCCCCCCTCCTCCCTCCTCTCTCTCACTCTCTCACACACTCTCTCGTCTCTTCTCTCCTTTGAAGCGCGGATTTGAATCTACGTTTTACGGCGCAATTAATTCCCCAAGGAGAGTTGCATTTCTTGCTCCGCCGGGGCAAGGAAAGGGATTTGCGAACGACGAGGTTCCCGTAGTCCCGTAGGAATCCGGCAGCCAGACAGGGACAGGACGAGCGTGAGGAAGGGAAAGAAATGAGGAGAGTGGGAGAGTCATAGGGTGCGGAGGAGAAGAAGGAGAAGAAGGTCGGCGAGGAGATGGCAAACCGTTTCCGCAGGCTAAGGGATACACGACGTCTCCGCGCTGGCATTATCGACGACCGCTAAGCGCCCCGTTTTATCCCTGTACAGTCCTGTAAAGTTAATGATTTAAGAACGTCCCCTGTGCCAGCGAAATTCATTTTTCTAGGATTGGAGAGGGGCGATAAATATAAACGATGAATTTCTCTCGTGGCGCGGAACGGCTGAAAAATATCCGCGAGGCGGCAGGCACATTTCGCAGCCGCTGTTTTGCTACGGAGACAAATAGCGTTAACCCCCGTCATCTGCATAATTGCATACTGTTCGAGGCACGGAAAAATACTTGCGCATGAAATCTCATACGCTTCGTCGATGGGAATTCATTCGCCTCACGGATAGTTAAATTCCATTCCGTAGAGAAATCCCGCTCCGAATCTCTTCTTCCTCGTACAGCGAATTAGTGACTCTCATATGCCATAGAAGATCTGTTTGAGCAGTAATTCGAAGAAGCGCTACACGTCGCTCGTAGTCTTCACCGTCGACGAGTAAGTCGAGTTAGGGAATTTTGCAGGAAGCCGAATGAAAGGAGACCGGTCCTCCCTCGGGGCGCGATTCCCCTCGTCACTTTGGATTTGTCCTGCCGAGAGGAAGATGGAAAACGCGACTATTGCGAGCGCTACATAATCCAGGTGGCATCGCGTACGCAAAATCGAAGGGGTTAAATCATTCAATCACGCGCCATTCCCCGCTTGCCGCGTGAAAGAGCGCGCGCACGGCAGTCACGCTTCTCGCGACGACGACGCCGCGCGCTCTGTAATTTGCAATTCAGGAGATTTCTATATCCGGCGCGAATTCGAGGGCTCACCGGAGACCCGTATCACGTACGTGAAGCGTACCGGGTAAGCACCCCGGGTACCTTTTACCGAGCTCGCGTCTCTCCGCGAGGGACAAACGCGGGGGTGTAGCGGCGCGTCGGCAAAGGAACTTCTTATTCGCACGAGGAGAAGCGCCGTCGACGACGCCGCTTCTTCTGCCCGCTGGGGAAATCCAATACGAAGTCTATCCATGTATATTTGAGGATCGGCGCCGTCGACCTCCCGCAACCCTCGGCAGAGCGTGTTGTGCGAGGCGAGCCGGAACTTTCCCGACCTATTTACAGCTGCTCGCCTCGCCGCCATCAGTCCGTCCGGGACGATTTTGATCTGTCTGCAATATGACATGTGTGTGTGTGTGTGTGTGCTCCTCGGGAACGAGAGACACGCGGACTGTACCTGCTTCATGTTACCTTTACGTAGGGTAGCATGGATCTGAATAACGATCGGGTTGCTTTATACTCTGGAGAATACGAGCGTGCGACGACACGTGTTATTTAAACCGCGACGATGCGTGCATGTATCTGCGATACCTGCCTCGAAACCCTTTTGGCAAGAGCA